ATACTTGGATGTTTTAAAAAATAATAATAATGCTCAAACCATAGATGCAAAGAATATTAAATCACCCAATACAGACTTTCTGCTCCAGTTGTCTCATAAATATGTAAGTTGTTGTGGAAACAAAGACATGGTAAATGGCGAAGCTCAACATCTACACAGGTATTCATACTGTTCATTACTTACTGTCCTGTAGCTTGTTTATACTTATTCATACTATCTGGGGTGCTCTTTTTTTGTACCACCTTAATGGAAGACAACAGATTATCAGGTTAGCTTGTTTTTAACTATGGCCCAAAGGAAGGAAGCTCAGCGATGTCTTCAGTCATTTGAATTCCAGTAATTGAACAGAAGAGAAGCAACTCATAAAAGGAGAATCTGGGCCACCACATGAAACACTAAAGCCATAGCATCCTGCTTTCAGTGTGAAATCAGTAACAAAAATGTTGCAAGGTATACACTATGTTCCTTCAGTGAAATAGTAAAGGACAATGATTACCACACTTTGGATTGATAAAACAGTCTCAGTTTAGTATGAAAATGTTCCTAATTTGTCCAGGGACAGTTCCCAACACTAAGTGATGATCGGATATTCCGAGTTGCCATTTCTTAGTACCATGGGCTTTCATAATTTGGCTAAGAGATAAAGATTTTCCTTCTCAATAAAGCAGGAAATACATCTTCTGAGCTCCAACTTTTAACTTCAATCTAATTTTATGCCCCAGAGAGAGCAAGCCGATTCTAACTGCCTTTATCTTCTGGGCCTGACATAGTGAAAGAGACCAATAGAAGTCATAAACAGCTATGCTTAGGTGGTATTAGGCACCAAAACGGATCTCAGCTCTACAAAGACCATAAGCATGCTGGAGTTGACTATGTCTTACATTTGAAAATCTCTCTCATATAAAGTCATTCCAAACTATCAAAAATGTGTGAACCACCTTAGAATTAGAAAAGTGCTTATTCACCTCAATAATGCTTGGTATTGTTTCTGGGCTTTAAATATTCCTACATCATCATGGTGATTAGCCTTCCTTATTTGATATCCTTTTAAGAAATTTTAGATGTGTTTAATTTCTTCTGCTTATCATAACACTTTCATTTACTTTAGTGTGTAATTATAGATAACTTCTGAGTTTTAGTACCTTCTGTTTTTGTTTTTGTTTTTTTTTTTTTTGGTACTGGGAATCAAACTCATGACCTCAGGCTTGCCAGGCAAGTGCTTATGCCACTGAGCTACATCCTGGCCCTTTAGTACCTTCTATATTCTGGATACTCTTCTATGTATTGTCAGTATAAAGATAAATAAAATATATGGAAGCAGAGGAAAGAACCTGCCATATGGGCTGCAAATCTTCACCTTATTCACTTAATGCAGTGAGTGATTGACTTCATAAGGCAGGTTGAGTTCTTGCAAGCTAAATGTCAATGATGTTCATTACTAAGTGAGAACATAATCGGAAACACTTGCTACTAATGTGTGAACATACTCTTCTATTACAGAATGTCTTTTTAACACATTTGAATTTCTCAGGAAATAAACCCACTTCCCATGTTTCAAATGAGGCCTAATATATCCGGATCACCTTCAGCAAACTTATTGACTTAATATCCTTCATCATTTCTACTGTCTTCAGCAATCAATATTTACTTCTTCTAGATGTTAAACAGGAGTTTAAAACCTAGAAAAGATACTCTTTCATACAAATAAAAGATATAATTTAGAAAATTTCTATTGTCAGCTTTTTAAGTTTAGATTGAATCTGGAAATTAACATCTTCATGTAGAGATGAAAGACCAACATTTTGGTGCTGTACTTTGATTTGGGACTATTGGTGATGAAATATATCCTTCATTCAACCTGTGGCATTCTTTCCAAAATGATATTATTTAAATACTATCTTGGGCAAGGTGTAATTAAAGAAATGTTTTAGTATTTAATTAATATTATAAATAAATAAATAAATACTATCTTGGGCAAGGTGTAATTAAAGAAATGTTTTAGTATTTAATTAATATTCAAATTGCTCATCTACTTACTTTAGTGACTGTGCACATTAGTGGAAGAAATTTGGTAGTCAAGTGATTTTAAGATAGCCAAGTAAAATGTGTACTTATTTCCCTGAAGAAATGTTAAACCTCTAAAATACCAAGTATGGATTTACACATAATGAGTGTCTGCAGTAAAGGGAGTGTTTAACAGAAGCAGTTTAAAAAGTAAAGAATATCTCAGGAAAGAATAAACAATAAATAAGTGTTTGGAGGTATGAGAGGAAAAAAAAGGGCAAAGGAGTTCACGCTTGCTAAGTTGCTTGTAAATTGCTATTATGGACAAACACGAGTCTTACTGTGCCCAGATTGTGTAATTTATTGGGAGTTTGCAGGCTTCTCTGTTCAGCAATGCTGATAACGGCACTAATAGTTTAATTACAACTTGCTGCTCAAGGAGATAAACAAGGCTGTTTGCTTTCTAAAATCAGGGGTTACAATTACTTTTAAATGCGGGGGAAAGGAACATCTGCGAGTGCATCTCACTTTGTTAGGAAAGCAAGCAGAAACCAGCCGGAAAATAAACAAAGCCCCAGGAGCGAGCAGCCGGTGCAAAATTAGAGCAAAAGAACGCCTGATTTGAGCAGCAGAGCAGTGGGCGTGAAGAGTAGCAAACAGGCGGCAAATATAGGTGGGCAGGGATAGAAAAGTTTCTGCTGTCCACATCTCTTGCATTTTCCCTAGGAAATCTTAGAGATCTTAGTAGAGAGAGCCTGAGCACCCCTCCCTTCTCTGCCTCCCCACTCTGCGCTTCAGCACCACAGAGAGAGGACAGCTCCCAGACCGCAGCCAAGAGCTCCTGGAGACAGGCCCTTTCCACTCTATAAAGGTCCTTTCCACACATTTCTCTTTCTCTCTTGCCACTTTGCACTTAGGGATTTTTAAAGGGACATACAGAGGGTACGTAATACTTGTCCGGCTTATTTCCAGACCACAAAGAGGCAAGTCCTGCCTGAGTCAGTCTTTTAATTGGACTCCAGAGCAATTTGACCAAAATAAAACTTTGCAAGTCACTGGGTTTAATCTGTTGGCAAAGTGGTTCAAAGTAATTGAGTAGTAGCTGAAACTTGAAACTCTCATTTAGTGTTTTATTTTATTGTGCTGTCATAAAAGTACTAGCACAAGGTAAAAAAAAAAAAATAAGAAAGCTTTACAAACTGCTGCTTTAGCTCCTTTTCTTCTGTACTAAGGCAAAGACACTGAAGAATCAAAGCTGAGTTTGTTATCAGGGGGCCCAGTGGAATAATTCTCAATATCACTGAGTTGGAAAATAATCTTGGCCCTAAGAGAAGCTCTTCCCAGTCCTTTAAAAGACAACCTGTGACCAGCTGCTTAATGTAGAATTTAGAAGCTATAGATTCTCAATTCACAGTTCTGAGATGAGCACCATGAGCTACTACAGCACACCACAAAAAAATGCTTCCTCAGTGAAGTTCCCTTTTCTTCAGCCCCAGACTCAAAGGTCATCATATCAGAAGTAATAGGATGCATATAATTAAAATAACCAAATCACCAGCACAGGAAAATCACACACAGGTCAACCCAGCTACTCTGACACAGTCAGTTCCCACTCTTCCAACCTTGACAATGTGCTCACTTAGCAGTGCTTCTTCTTTCATGCCCAATATTCTCTTTCATCCAAACTCCTCAACAGGACATAACATACTCCTCATTTGCAGGGGTTCTTTGCTCCAACACACACACACACACACACACACACACACACACAAACACACACACACACACACACACAAACTTTGGCTCAGTTCCACTTTCAAGGGTTTAATTTCTTAAAGAAAAAAGTATTGTCTCCTTTTTAAAACTTATTTTGAAAGTAAGTCTGCAGCTAAAAGTTCTCGGGTTGCCCTGGAGTTGCTAGAATAATAGAGACTTTGGAGAGGAAGGGACGGGGGCTAGGGTCCAAGCTGAGTGGTCACAGGCATGGGCAGTACTGCAGATTTAGTGGTGAACAACTTCTGCCCAGAGTAACCTCATCAGGAGTGAGTTTGGAGCAGCAGCAGCGGGAACAGCAGACTCTGGCTTCTCTTATTAGGTAACTGGAAGTGGAGCCAACTGGGGGATCCCTCAGTCTTCCTCCTATTTTCCCTTCCTACCTTCCTCTCTGTCTTTCTGTTCCTTTTCCTCCCTCTTTCCTACCCTTCTTTTCCTCCCTTCCTTCTTTCCTTCATTCCTTCCTCCCTCTCTTCCTTCCTTCCTTCCTTCCTTCCTTCCTTCCTTCCTTCCCTCCCTCCCTAGCTTCCTTCCTGTTCTCTCTCCTTTCTTCCCTTCCTCCTCTACCTCAGCTATCTTTTCACTTAATTCTTTCTGGGCCACTTTGAGCACTAGTTCCAATGACAGCACCGAGCGCCCTAACCTGTGTCTTACAGACCATGCTTTTATAGGACAAGCACCACCAGGACTGCTCTGCAACTGCCCCAACAGCTTGGAGCAAGGGAAATGTTCCTTCAGACGGCGGCCCCGCCCCTCTCTCCACCCCGACACCGCAGCCAGCCAGCCGGGAGGCATTCACCCGTCCAAATCACCAGAGTCTGAATGTCACCAACAAGTTCCACGCTGTAGCAGCCGGGCTGCCAGCCTCACCCACCAGACCCTCCGCCCACAGCAGGCGCACCGCGCTCTGGGAGATCCCGGGGATCATTGTTAGAACAGATAACACTTTCTTTTCTTGCTGGAAGGGGGAAGCCCTCGTGTGACTCCTGGGCGGGTGTGGGGCTCCACGCGCCACCCTCCCCCACCTCCGCAACGCGCACACACACATGCACACACGCGCGCGCACACGCCCTCCACACAAAGAGCAGCAGCAGCGCCCGGCCGTGGCAGGGGCGCAGGGCATCTGGGGAGGGGACCGGGGGCGGGGGCTGAGCCAGCCGGGAGCAGAGAGGGAGGGAAGGAGCTGGGTGGCGAGCAGAGCCGGGCGCGAGGGGCGTCCTTACCTGCCCCCAGGTTGAAGGATATCCTGGCCTCCGCGAGGTACGGCGTGTCGCTCTTGGAGCGCACTCTCCGGATGGGCCGCCGGTCTATGTCATCCTCCGAAGATGCCGCCATTAATGTGGGAGGCAGGAGCAGGGTCGCCCGGCGAGCTGCGAGCAGGAGGAGAGGCAGAGGGAGGGAGGGAGGCCGGCGGAAAGGGGGAGGAGGGGAAAGGAAGAGGCTCACACATGGGAAGGGGGATGGGAGAGGAAGGGGAAGGGGACGGGGAGGGAGGGGGAAAAGAGAGGGAAAAAGGGAAAAAAGAGGGAGAGAGAAAGAAAGAGAGCGAAGGAGAGAAAAGGGTGAAGGGAGAGAAAGAAAACCCGTCAAGGATTTGTGGACTGGAGCAAAGCCCAGGCTATCCCTGGCTTGTGCCTGGGGCTCCCAACCCGCTCCCAGCGCAGCGCCCAGGGGTCAGTGCTCCAGAGGACAGCCCGCCTCCTGCCCGCAGCAGCCCCGGTTTCAGCTGTTGGCACAGACAGCCTAATGCGAAAAGGAAGACTGCACAGCAAAGATGCCCAGTCAGCACCGTGCCCTCTCCCTCCAAAGCTCACCCTGCTCTTCAGGTGCACACTAAGGTCTCTCTATCCAGGGGATTCTCTGGTCTGGGGAGGGCAGGCACAGAGCTGCAGCCTTGGTGCTGCCTGCAGCCCCTATTACTCTTGGGGTATAAGCGCCAAGCTGCAGACCCTACAAGCTTGGTCCTGCAGGAGGACATTGTAGCCAGGGAAGCCCTCTGGCCAGCCTCCCAAATTAGAGCTCAAATAGAGATAGAGGCAGATCTGAGATCCTCAGGAGATCTTTATCTGCCCTTCACAACTTAAAGGTGGAGAGGTGGAGAGAAAGTGTATTCAAGTTTGAAAGCAGTTCGGCAGCAAGAGTTCTAGAAATGAGAGTTTTGCAGGTAGACTAGGCACCTGCGCACAGAATTGAGCGGCCCTCTGCTACAGCCACTAACTTCTAGGATGCGTTTATCTCTACATAAACACCCATTCATCTTAACCTCCACTTTTCTCTCTATCCAGTCGTGTACTGCACAAATGACAGTCTTTGGAGCGGACCTGCAGTCTCTACCATCCTGTGTCATTGTTTCTGAAGGAGAGGTGAAGATCAAGGGGTTTTTCCTCCTTTGAACGTTTGCACTGCTGTCCCCCATTGCTCCCCACAATGCAGAAGAAGCAGCAGAAAGGTCTCTGGGGTGAAAATCAGGATGGTTTGATGCTTCCACTGGACCTATTGATGGGCTCGACTCTTTCATGTTTGTCTTTCTGCAACTTCTGTCACTTGGTCTTTTTTGTGCCCTGATGCTGGTACTCTTCTATCTAATAAGTGCTCTCCTGGAGTAGAGATACCCCTACACCGCGGTTGCCTCTGGTACAAAGGGAATCTCGGTGTGAGGTTGTGCCTTTCAGAGTTAGAGGAAGGAGTGCCACCCCGACTGCAAGCTTCTTTTGCAACCTCAGCTGTTGCTTCTCTCTCCTTTTGTATTTCCTCATCCTAAAACCTTCCCTGGCCTTTTGCATTCACATAGACACAGAAGTTCTTCAGTTTAGGAATGATGTGTCCGCCTTTGACCTTACAGCTTCCCCAGTCTCTACCATGCTACTTCCTTGACATTCTGTTTAGCCTTCCCACGGTCCTGGAGGACCCCCTGGTTCCAGTTTTTACTCCTAATCCCTTTCTTTCATCCCAGCCCTGGTTTCTATTCTCATCTTTCCATCAAGACCATTTTAAAAGGTCAATGTCTTTCTAACAGTTAGCTTCACTCTTTTCTGGTTTCTCTGAAGCATTTAGCAAACCATCCTTCTTGAAATTGTCCCCTCCTTTGGCCTCCCAATCCTGGACTGCCTCCCTAGCCACTTGAGCTCTAAGTGTTAGTTCTAATGTGAAACTGCTTGTCTTGGCAATCTGACTTCAACTGGTCCTTAAATCTCATCCTCCAGTATCTACTGTTAGTCTACCGGGAGTTGGTCCAAGTCTGGCTCGCTTCTGCATCTGCACCTGTGCTCATGTGGATACATGACAAATGTGTTTGCTGTAAATGTTTCATGTTCTCCCTAAGAATGCATTCAGGATATCAACCTAGCACATAGTAAATGCTGTAGCGATATTTTTGAATGAAGGGAAGGAGAAAAGGGAGGGAAAGTGCATGGAGAGAAGAGAGAAAAGTAGAGAAGGAAGGGTGAATAACTAGAGAGTAGCTAAATTGGGAACCAAGTTCATACCTGCCTAATTTCAAACCCTGTGTCCTTAGTGAGCAGTCAGTTCCCACAGGGGATTGGTTTCTGGGCATCCCTCCACCCATCACAGATACCAGAATCCTCAAATTTTCAAGTCCCTTATTTAAAATAGCATGGTATTTACATAGAATTCATACACATCTTCTGGCATACTTATCTCATCATTAGATTATATATATATATATAATATATATATATATGTAACTTTCATAATGTAAATGCGATATAAATAACTTATGCTGTATTTAGGGAATAATGAGATGAACAAAACATTTGTACGTATTTGATACAGAAGTGATTTGTTCTAATATTATTGCTGTTGATTTTGTGTATGTGGAACTCATGGACAGTGTATTGACTGTGTACTGATTTTGTAAGTACATATATTTGGTGTACTAGCCACATTTTACATTCACTTTTCTATGACTTCTGCCTTATCATTATATCATATTTATTTTCTGTTAATAATAGACTAGAAATAGATCCTCCTATTACAAAAGACAGCAAGAGGGATCTTTGGCTTATCAAATCAACTATCAAAGTTCAGATTTTTACTGTAAACCAACAGTATAATTGTAATGTTTAGGTTCTTAGGGGAGTGAAAAAAGTAAGGAAATAAACTCAAACAATTGTATAAACTATACCTCCATTAAAATAATGCACTGTGGCATGTTCAAAATATTTGGAATTTCCCACAACTCTTTGCATTTTTATTCACTAGCCAGGTTTGCTAAAGTCATTTGCAGGAGTAGGTAGCCTTACCTCTCGCAATGTTTCTCTCATTTTTTGTACAAATAATTTTGATATAGAAACGTGTATCTTTGAATCTCTGTTTCTTATTCATTTAACACTTTACAGGATTAGTACTATGGTTTATATCTAGATGTCCTCCCAAAAGCTCATGAGGTCATAGCTGGGACTTTGGGGAGTGATTAGACTATGGAGGTATGATGAGTCTAAAACTAATGTGATGGCCAGGCATGGTGGCGCACGCCTGTAATCCCAGCACTTGGGATGCTGAGACAGGAGGATCACTGTGAGTTCGTGACCGGCCTGGGCTACAAAGTGAGCTCAAGGCCAGCCTGAACTGTATGGCTAGACCCTGTCTCAAAAGACAAAAAAATAAAAAGGAAGGAAAGAAAACTAATATGATTCTGGGAGGTGAAACTTGGTCACTGTGTCACTGAGGGTGTGGCCTGGAATGGTGTATATCCCCCCCTTCTCCCTTGGTCTCTCTCTACTTCCTGTCTGCCATGCCACAAGCTCTCTCTCTTCTTTGTACCCCTCTGCCATGCCACCTGGCCCTGAGTCAGCTGACTATAGACTGAAACCTCTCCAAACTGAGGGCCAAAATATCCCTTTCCTTTAAGTTGCAGTACAAGGTATTGGGTCTCAGTGATAAGAAAGTGACTAAGAAGCATAAGAACTCAATATTTTTACCACTTTAGGTTTATCCCTCTTCAAAGGGGATTAAATGTACTTTCATACTATTTCATTATGAACTATTTTATTACTAAAGTAATACTTTCATACTATTTCATTATGAACTATTTTATTACTAAAGTAAAAAGATCAACTTTTGATAAAAGTGGACTTAAAATACTTCATCATTTTGTATGCTCTTGAATTCTTTTATGACATTTCACTCCTGATTATTATCTTCCACTGTTCACTTCCCTAGTTCATTTTGTCTTTCAGTTAATTTTTATTCTCTTTTCACTTTGCCCTGTTTCTTATCTCTGTCTTTCACTCTGTCTAACAATCCTTTCACAGAATCAATCTGTTTTCTCATACCCCACTCTTATTCTATATGAAGGACTCCTGTTTGTGGACTTGTCATAAGATTTCCACAGTCTTTATTCTTGGATATTCTTTTTGCGCTCATGGCTTAGTATTATAAAATGTTTGATGACATCAGAGAAAGCACATGGGAGTGGGAGTCAGGGGTGGTGGGTGCCAATCCTAGTATCACTTCTCTGTCACCAGAAAACAGTGGACAAATCACTCTGCCAGGATGAGTCACACAGTTAAATCATCTATAAAAACTTAAGAGTCAGAGGATATGATCTTAAAGGCCATACCCTTTCCTAACTCTATACTTATTTGTAGCTATTCTTATATTTCTACCCCTTAAGATAAACATCTATGGTATCTTTCATCTCTTAACCTAAAAATATACACTTTTCCCTTTGATCTGTAACTAAAAGCTTGATATTAGTACTTCTTTCAAGTGATTTCATATTATCTAAGTCTATTTGATGAAACTTTGTTGCTTTTTTGTTTGTTTGTTTGTTTTGTTTTGGTTTGGTTTTTCTCTGGTACCAGGAACCGAACTCATGACCTTGCACTTGCCAGGCAGGCGCTTTGCCACTGAGCTAAATCCCCAGCCCTTGATGAAACTTTGAATCATTCAAAATGTAGTTTTCCCCATACTTACTCCATCATGTAAACTATGCATATGATTGTGTGTGCACCAGTGTGGGTGTGAATAGGTAGAGAGAAAGGATTAAATTCAACAGTGACCTCAACAATTTGCAAATGCAATTTTTGACAATTATTGCTTATTTCTAAAATATGACTGCTTGCCTAGGGAAAGACACTTTTTTCTTCTCGAAAACCAGTTAATAATTTAAAACTCCAGACCCTACATGCATATTATTTCCAGAGCTAGAACCAAAATAAGAGAGGTAGCACAATATGGTACTCAAAAAATATTTTAGGGCCAGGGAAATAGCTCAGTGGCACAGTGCCTGCCTGGCAGGAACAAGGTCTTGGGTTCGATTCCCGGTACTTCATGGAATAGATTGGAGGTAAGAAAAGGAGTGAAAAAAAGGGTGCACTCTTCCAATCTTACTAAGGAAATTCTGCAG